CCTCCCCCCCCCCCGGCAATACACTTTTCGGATGAATTTTCTCGGCGGTGGGTGTTTCCACCGGCCATTCTTGTAAGCGTGAAAAAACATTGTTGCCCTGAACAGCAGCAGCCAGAAACAACTACAACAGCAGACCGGCCGTATACAGCAAACAGCAATAGCACCAGCAGTATGAACACAAGATATTAACCACAAGCGTTGTCCGTATTTCGAATCGCAGCATGTTACAGTTCGACTGTGGGTGTATCTCGAACGGTACTACTTTTCCAAATAATTAAAAGCCAAACAATTTTTCTACCAGCGATAGCCAATACTGAAAATCCCACGTGCCTGTTTTTCTGTCCAGTCATGCCCATGGTAGGCGCTGCAGCGGAGTACTAGGCGGAGCCTTCGAAGCTTGAAGATCTCCAAAATAAGTGAGCGAGGGATATAGACCAAGAGAGAGAAAGTAAGGAGAACACCACCGCTACTCCACCCAAATGACGAATTGATGGATCGTTGATTGTCCTCAGGTTATATGTTGCTCCAGGTCTAACCATTTCAGTGTTGGGCGCTTCACCTCTGCTACTGCTGTGTTCGTGAATCAATAGGGGGAGGCACTGTCCTGCAGAACCAAAAATGGAGTACAAAACAATATGGTTTTGAAACTACCCATCCATGGATTGGCGGTGTGTACTGTGATGCAGTGCCGTACAACAGCACAGCGACATGCAAGCGCAACGGGTTTGGTTGGGTGGCGCAAGGGCGTCACCTGCTTGATAGTATTGTTGCCTGCTAACACAGATAGCAATTGACACGAAAATGACAGCAGTAGGGTTGCCCAATAGCCAAACATTTGGCCTCCTCAGTAGTATGAACGTTCAGCGAAGGTTTAGCGAGACGAGCGTCTACACCTTATTCATGTACTGTACTGCTGCAGGTTCCGGCAGCAACACAAGCGACTGCCCCAAACTAAACATGGGAAGAGTACTGCTGTACTGCTGTACGACAACAGCAGGCTGTTTCCATTGCACCCCTCTTGAAATCGTGTGTGGTGAATGGTAATAAAATAGTCGTTATAGCTGTGCCGCGTGGTGGAGGGCTACTCAGCAGTTGGGACTGAGGACGTCAGCGTTTGACTTCAACGTTCGTGCGTCATTTTAACAGCTGTAGTACGGTTCTCTTTCTACCAGGATTATTTTGCACTGTGTTGCCAAATGAAACAAAAAAAGATCTTCCGGCAACCCGCCCATGTCAAGATTTCTCAAGAGATAAAAATAAGACCAACGGGGATCAAAAAGAGAGAGAAAAAATGTGCCCGCAGCTGATGCTGTACGACATCAGCAGGCTGGTTCCATTGCACCCTTCTTGAAATCGTGTGTGGTCAACGGTAATAATATAGTCGTTATAGCTGTGCCGCGTGGTGGAGGGCTACACAGCAGTCGGGACTGATGACACCAGTCTTGGACTCCAATGTGTTCTTTTAGCAGCAGGGTTATTCAGTTATTTTAACAGGTATTCAACTGCTGTGTGTACTGCTGTAAGATTATCTCTCGCCGAGATTCTTTTTGCACTGCGTCGCCGAAAGAAACCAAAAAGATCCCTCGGCAACCCGCCCATGTCAAGTTTGACTCGAGATAAAATGTAACCAACGGAGCTCAAAGTAGCTCGTGCGTGAACTACCAATGACACGTACTCACCTTCTGCTGCCTTGGCCTTGCTCTAGGACGAATCCAAGGGGGGCGATCACGCAGGGGCGGGTTGTCCAGCTCTCTCTCTTCTCCCTCGGGGAAGGAGCCCTGCTGACACAAGGTACAAATTTCGGATGGTCACACAGCAGCAATTGCACAGCAGTACGCTAGGAATCTGCAGCGAAATGACCCGATCCTCAAGGATCGCACAAGAAAGATCCCCACCCCCTCGGCCAAGCCAACCTATCACCCCAACTTGTAGCCTTATCCCTTCTCGCGGGAAGCAGTTGACCCCCCCCTCACGGGGATCGAAAACAGCAGGCAGCCAAACAGGTAACCCGGGGCCCCATCCAAGCCCAAAAATGTCCCCTATCGTGCCGGGCTTGATGCGCGTGGAGCGACGCCGGTGAGATGATAGCGGTCTATAGTATGTACCTCTCTTGTCCTATCGG